GGGAAATTGAACTAACTTGTTGAAAGTGATCTCATGAATCTCTTGACATTGCCGCTAGGCCACAAGGCCCACTGGACCCATTACAAAACATGAACAAAAAAATCATATTAGATATATCACAAGTGCCTGTCAAATTGCACATAACGATGATATTGCAAATTCCATTTTTGTAGGATTAATCAATCATGTATTGAGACCATTTAAACATAACCTTTTTCTCTCACTGGTATTTAGCACTTATCCTTCACCTGCAAATGTATTACTACGGTGACACATTTATTCTCAAAATAATTGATAGGAATTGACACCTAAAAGGGGAGAACTCAAAGAGAGCATATAAATTAGAGAAAAGTAGATGATCACAGAACATTAAGAAAAACAAAGAGAAGGTTCATACATTCAGATATAGGCCGGCTGAGCATGCAGCCACTACACGCAGGAGATATACTCATTCTTCTTAAAAGACAGCAAAATATCTCTAAAAACTAAGGGACATTAAAGGCTATTTATCTTCCAAAGACTCCACAGATCTTCGATAATTAAAGGACATGACAAGCTCAATTCACGTGGCTACATATTGATGAGTAACTTGCGGAAGCTAACACAAGAAACCAAGATGAGTATACTAAAATTTCCAAGACTTTTCCAACATATATATCTACAGATGTAGTCTCCTCAAAATGACCTCTAGAAAGTGGAAAGTAAAGCATATATAAGACTACTTCATCTTAGGTGGCTACATGTTAACTAAGCTAAATATTTTTACCCAGCGTGAGCACACTAAAATTTGAGAAACTTCATTAACTCTCTCCAAGATATCTGTTGAGACAGCATATGGCATGAATTTTTTTTCAAGTGCGCATACCCTTGGCTTGCCAACACATCATCCATTCTATTTGAAGACATGATAAGTTCCACACAAGCATCTTTGATCCTGCAGCAGTGATGCTGATCAGCTAGTCTCAACATCAAGAATTTTACAAAGAATGTCTTCACACATCATCTTCATCCTTTCATCGCAAACTGATCTGCAGCCACAAGTGCTTTACCATCTGCTGCATGTCTTCGACCTGATGTTCTGTCCACACTTGCGTCTCATCGGCCCATAGAGCTCTGCTTTGTGTTCACACCAGTTTTTGGCACGGCAGAAAACATGATTAAGATTGCCTCAAATGAAAATGTGCTTTACACGAAATAGTTTCGTATTGTCGACATGAACATCTTTGAAGTTTGGATCATCGCCATCCGATCTCATCTCAAGGGCCGAAGTTGTGCTCGAAGTACTAAGATTTTGTATTCAAAGTACTGTTCGGCTGATTATGCCTTCAATACGGCCTCCCAAGAGAAAATGTTCTACATGGATTGTCTTTATCTCGTCGAAGCAGTCAATTTTGATATTTAAACCGTCTCAATCCAAGGTCATATGTAAAAGTTGTAGCCAAAACAGTGCAATGCTGCAGAAACTATGGAGATGACCACATGCCCAAAACATCATGTCGCGACCGGACTGTCCGGAAACTGAGACAGGCTGTCAAGTCCGGGTCGCAAAACACGCCAAAACCTTCCGTTGTAACTGAACAGTCTGGTCCGGTCGAGCAGACAGTCCGGTCCGAACCGAAATCGTGCATCTCCACGGATCTGATAATTACGGGAGCGATTCAGCCTTGAAGATAACCTCAAACCAAAAAGAGTTCAACATGAAATGTGTCTACCTCGTCGAAATGACTAAATTTTCTTTTGGGCTCATCTTCATCCCAGGTAGTTTGTAACCTATGAGATCCAAAAAACGAACTGCTATCTGAGACTTACCTAAATCCGAGTTCGGTTAATTTTGAAAATATTTGGACATGATTTGGAGTCCTTTCCTTGTATGGGAAGTCCAGTCGTCTCATAAATAGATGATAGGTGATGGCCGATTAAACAAAACACAATCGATCAATCCTTCCACCACTTTTTACCTTTACCTTTTCTTCTCCTTTGTTGTTCTTCTTCCTTGTTCTTCGTTCATTCTTCTTGTTGCGGGGTGGCGATCAACAAGGCCCTAGGGGCGATCAGTCGACCTAGGGCAGCCCATAGCCGCCGCGCGTCCTGACGGGGTCCCTCCCGGGTATGTGGGGTTTCGGGCCTTCAAAAGCACCTGCCAGATTGCTTGTGTACCAAGCCTCCAGCCGGGTCTCCTTCGATGTAAGTTGTGGTGCATCTCCCCCGGTGTCGAGGGTACACGGTGACACGTTCATGTGCGAACACTTTAAAGACTGGAGACCGTGTTGCGAGCACAATCCTATATGATGGAAAAATCTCATCTTCACCCTCAAATGTCACATCTGCTTGGTCGGCCGCCTCTAGCAATTTTCCAAATTTTTCTGCCAAGTATGAGGGTGGCCACTGCACCTCAGTTATTATTACAGTGTCCGCAACAGGTGGTTCCTTGATACAGTTAGATCGTACTCAATTACAAGACGATCATCCCAAGTATGGTTGGTCCAACTAGTGTTGAGGGAATCGAGCACTACCAGGGATTTCAAGAGTTCCATCACCGGCGACGATAGCCCTTTGGCCTGGTTGACTGTCCTAAAGTCAAAAGGCGGTGCGGCAGGATGGCTACTGTAGTAAATAGAACAGTCAAATTTTGGAAACCAGTGGAGTCTATGAAAAATGGCATCAGAAATTATGTTAGATTGAGATTACCAATTATGATGTTCCATCTTATTCAGGACCTCTCTCAAGATTTAGAAAGCATGATACTTTCGAAATCTAGTGAATAACCACCTTATTTGTCTTCCGTGTTTCTATAGACTTTGCATTACTGAAACTAAACAAGAGAGCAATGCTATAAAGAAATCAGATCTGGAACTTGTGTGGTAGCTACTTCTGCGTCCTACTCCCTCCGTTCGGAATTACTTGTCGCAGAAATGGATGTATCTAGACGTATTTTAATTTTAGATACATCCATTTTCGCGACAAGTAATTCCGAACGGAGGGAGTACTTTGTTATGTCTTCATTTGCCTTTTTTCTTTGTTTCATTTATATTGTTGTTTCTCTAAAACAAAACGCTCTTATTCGAGCTCTCTTGTTTCACTGCTAACTATGATATGAGGGAAGATCTTGCTTTCTTACTGTAAATGTGTGGGAAGTCATTCCTTTGTGCCCTCATCTGGAAACTCGATTTCAACCCATTTTCAGCCAGAAGATTTCTGGTTTAGTGTACCAAGGAAGGGACTTATGGTTTTCTCGTTGCCTAGATCATTAGCAGAGGTAGCTGGTTATTTCAAGATTCCAGATGATGTATCATTCCTTTAGGGAAATATCTTGCTTCTTGTCCTTGGTCCTTTATTGGTGCGAATTTTCTTGCACAAATGTATATTGTGGGACGCGAGGGAGTACATCAAAGGAAACTGTATATAAATTGATCTTAAATCATATGGTACACTTTCACCAGTCATTTTCAGTTGAGGTAATATCACCGGTAGTCACACAACTTGCATTGGATGTGCAGTTTAGTGCTACAACTTGTAAAATACGTCTTTTTGGTCAGCTAACTTGCGTTTCGATGCAGATACGGTCACTCCATGCGTATTTGGCACTTGCGAGGCATGCCACGTCTGCATGGGGCCTCTGTTAGTGACTGAAGACGCTCGGAGCAACCAGCGCGTGGTAAACTTGCATGGACCCCCCTGAATCTGTGTGTCAGGCATAGAGATAACAGTGATTGCTATAGAAAAGAGGTGGGTGGACAGATTTGAGCTGAATCTTCTCATTACCCAACTGGCTATACGGTGTCAAGTAATATTGGCAGGTCCTGGGTTCGAATCTCATGCCACTTTTTTTTGGATGTACTGTATTACATGTTGTGAATTTTGCCAGAACGTTTAGTGAATTTTTGGACAGTTTTGGCACAGGTTTCAACTGAATTTTGCCACAGTTTTCAACTGAAATTTGGCACAATGTTTTGGCACAACTTTGTACAGAATTGAACAATGAAAATAAGACAAAAATCTGAATTTTTGGACAGTATTTTGGCACAGGTTTCAACTGAATTTTGCCACAGTCAACCTGGTAATCCATGTTTGTTGCTCTCACTCCCACAGAAAAACCCATTGTGGTGTATCTCAACAGTAAACAACCCATCAAAATCACCTGCATTGTTAAAATAATAAAAATTCAGTAAGCAGCGTACATCAAATGTAATGAACAAAATATACTATTAAGAACTAAATCAGTACAACAAAAGTATAGAAGGAATTGACATTCAGTTAACACATTATACATACAGCTGCTCATTCTCCCTAAAAATTCAGCACACAATTCGCACATAGCAATTTCAGTGTCAAACTCAGAGTACACGCCTTCAGTGCGAAGAAAATTCAGTTTACTGTTTTTTTCAGATATTCACAGTACAAACAACATAAAATCCATCTCAGAAACATCACACATATTCGACTACATAATGCAAACAATCAGGATCATATCATAAACCATACCGAAACAACGATTTTATCGGACTTTTACACACACATAAAGCTGCCTCCTTTCATAACCCCTTCCTAAACCCTAGGTCAATTTGCGAACATGGGAGCTTGACTTTCTAATCTAATGCGTACAGGGGAGCTGAACCCTAGCGCCATCCAACATCTGGTAAGAACCTTAAGGGAGCAGAATCAGACCAAACAGGGCACAACGAAGATGGCGGCACAAACAAGACGGCCGGAATCAGCGAAAAGAAACCAGACTAGAGCAACGAGGGGGCGGACGTACCATACGAGGGCGCTGCTTCGTCCGGACGTCGGCGACGTGGTTAAGTCATCTCCTCCAACGACGACCGCCGTGATGCGCCGCCGCCTTCGCCTCTGTTTGATCGGGAGATGAAGCAGTGGGGAGTCAAACTGAACGACCAGCGAGTTTGGGGTGCCGAAAGCAAATATGCATGGGTTGCCTGTTCCCACCATTCTAGGGACTTTTTTGCGGAAATAATAACAAGTTCAGGGGGGTTCGTGCAAGTTTACCACGCGCTGGTTGCTCCAGAGCGTCTTCGGCCGCTGACAGTGGCCCCATGCAGACGTGGCATGCCACGCAAGCGCCGGATACACATGGAGTGACCGTATCTGCACCGAAACGCAAGTTAGCTGACCAAAAAGACGTATTTTGCAAGTTGTAGCACTAAACTGCACGTTCAATGCAAGTTGTGTGACTACCAGTGATATTACCTCTTTTCAGTTGGATAAATACAATGATGATGGAGAACAAAGTGACATTGAATCCAACTGATTTTGATAAGGTAACTGATGCTTGGTTTATTTTTTTCGGTGTGGACAGAAATGGCTACCAGTGAGTGAAGAAAATACATCGCGCAATGACGAGTCATTATCTTGAGGTTACCGAGTTGCTCTTACTTTGTTCAGACTAACAGACTTATTATTTCATCCAGACAAAATTGCCGTCACCTGGATTGCAGGTCGAGGTAATTCTGCTAGATTATGATGGTTCAAAACCACCGAAACAATAACCAGCTGATGTGTCTGCTGATAAGAAATCTAATGATGATTCATATTCGAGCATCACAGTGCCCCACCCGTAGAGCCCAACAAAGAAGCTGGAAGTGATGATAAGGATGATGCTAAGATGGATCACCCAAAGGCCGAAAGGTCTCTAGCAGTTGGCCAAGGTGCAGTAAATGCAGCCATCAGCTGCTGGTGGTGGAATCGAGAACATGAGCGAGTTCAAGGCCATTGCCGCAGATGCTCCGTTTCGCTCCTCTGAGACCATGATATATTGCCACTTCAAAGCAAGAGTAGCAAAGTTGAACAGAAGAACCTAGTTTATTTTTGTATTTTGCGTTGATTTTCTGAACCTGCAATGTTACAACTTGACCAGTTCTGAACTTCATCAGTACATCTACTCTGAGATAAGCATAAGGCTACCGAGTGCAGATGAAGAATAGGTATATATTAAGAGACAGAACGCGAGTAATAGCTTGATTCGCAAAGGAAGAAATGTGAGAAATAGCATAGACAGCAAAGAAGGTGCTCCATAAATCACCATATGGAACTGGAAGTGGATTCCAAAACTTGAATGCTCCATGAGAACACATCACAAGATAAAATCTCCTAATTTATCATTCCAGGCATGCAGTTCAGATATATAGGAACTTAAAACACAGTACTGGATACTTGGATAGTTTTCAGAACGACCAAGCAGATGTTCACACCACTCATTTTAACATAGGAGTGTCACATGATTGGCAGCTAGGCCTTGCAGGCACCGGACTGTCCAGGCGATGCTCATTCGTTCATTACAGGCTTGTTCTCGTTGGCCTTGAACCTCTGGTCTTTCGGCTTCTGCTCTTCCATTTTCCTGCCATCAACAAAGCGAAGGGAGTTAGTCGATTGAATCCAGCGCTCATCAAATTTACTGCATTTTGGGAGTCATGAAAGTTTGATGCAAATGGGTCTTTCAGAAATGCATTTCCCAACAGCTCGATAGTGCAAAGCGTAAAAAGAACACCTAAACAATGACCCAGTTAAAAATTAGGGAACACAAGTGTGTAACTGATGATTAATCGATAAGAACAAGCTCAGTTTCCTGCGTACAAACAGCTTTCTGCCATTGCATGTTTGTAGTCATATAAACTGCCATGTGGGTTAACCAAGTGTACACTACCAAAGGCACATGCACATTTCATTGAGCTAATACCATCAATCACAGAACTACCACGGGTGTTTATTTAGTACACAGCCCCTCAGATAAAGTCACGAATTTGTTAGTTTCTCAGCAATTCTCCAACAGCGAGGTTATGGCACTCAATATAGTATAACAATAGGATGTTGGTGAGTTACCTGTTGCTTCATATTCAAATAAGAGCAGAGAAAACACTTACAAGAGTACTCTCTAGCTCCTACTCGAGAGCTTACCATCCAAGAATATGAAATAAGCTTTCCACCGTAACTTAAGACCACCACAATAATATTAAGATAACACATGCCTACTTGAAACGTCTTACATTATGGAACTGAGGGAGTATTAAACAAGCTTTACAAACTTTGAGCATCCACGGTGTTTAGTTCATTAGTAAGGCTGCACATGCTCTTACAAGTAAACAGTTATTTTTGTTTGCAAGACAATTTGACCACCTACTACAATCACCAAATGACTCAAATCCAACCATTTTCATGTAAAATGTTGAAGCAATTTATCTGAAATGTCGAATAAGAAAAAGTTGCTGCAGATTGCAAGCACTAAGAACCTCCACGTCTCCAATTTTCTTCTGACTACCAATTTTCCCTTCAGTAAAATATAGGAAGGCAGCAATAAGTAGTTTCTTGTGTGCTCATTTATGATTAGCCTTTTTTGCTTGCGCAAGCAGCCCACACAAGACATGACTTCTCTATCGATCAACCCGCACATCCATGTGAACCAATCTAATCGAACAAACGCCTCTCGTTGAGCCCCTAATCAGACGGCCTCAAGGGATATTTTCTACGGCAAAGAACAGCGAATACATCCACAAATCGGACGCCGCAGCACATCTTTTGATGAGGGAACCGGCACGAATCGAGAACAAGAACAACCACGGGGTATTCACGCCGCACCGATTAGCACGAATTAGTCGCTCGTGAAGGGGGAAACTGGCAGAACAGATCTGCAGGGGATGAGACGGGGCTGTGAAGGGGAGAGTTTACCTCTTGTCGGAGGACGCGCCGCCCTTCTGGCTGAGGAAGGAGCGGAACAGGGGGGAGTTCACGTCGTAGATCATCTTTCTTCTTCTTCTCTTCTTCTTCTTCGCTGCCGCCGCCGCCGATGTGAAGAGCCTAGCTAGGGTTCGTGGGAGAGGGTGAGACGCACGGGTTCGGCTGCTTTGTACCCCTCACCTTCGCGGATCTACATCAATCGACGGCCGGCCCGTCGGGCTCCAGGCCGTCTAAAGGTAGACGGGCCCCCGGAGGGGAAAATGGGCCCTAAAATCTTTAAACCTTTTTTTTCTTTTTATTAGAGGGAAAATGAGATAAATGCGAAAATGCTCTTGTGAGCTCGAGCCCATATGCACCGTTTTTTTACAGTAAAATCCGAAAAAATATTACTACACAAATTTAAGAATTCTGATTTTTCTTTTTTTGCTACAAATATTGATGTGCGTTTCACACGCGTGCTAATTGTCCTGATGGAATGACATTAAGGGGAGTCTCGGGAGAAAAAACAAAATTGATGCTCCAGAATTCACACGGTGCATTAAAATTAAACCAACAAATCATACCGAGATAAAACAAACCGAACCATTTATGTGGTTATTATTGTTTTTGGTTTTATGTATGGAACGAAATTTCCTTACCATTTTTGAAATTTAGTTTTTTGTATATACAAAAAAATGAACGGTTAAACAAATTTAAAAAACTATTTATATTTCTTTAGCAACCAGCCATACTTAGTCAGTTAGGCCCAAAAGATCATGTTAGTAAACTTTTTTTTGCATGAGTCAGAGTCCTGCCAAGCATGTTCATTTTTCTTATAACGTAGTCATTTGTTTCTTGCAAAAAATACTAAGCACGTCTATAAGCAAAGCAAAGTATACATTGCACATTTGCATGCACGGACAATCATCAAGGCATGAATCCACGCATGCATATATACTCCCTCCGTCCCAAATATAAGTCTTTTTAGAGATTCCAACAAGTGACTACACACGGAGAAAAATGAGTGAATCTACACTCTAGAATATGTCTGCATACATCTGCATGTTGTAGTCCATTTAAAATGTCTAAAAAGACTTATATTTAGAAACGGATGGAGTACTTATAAATGTTTTCTATAAAAAAAGTGTATGTGTTTCGAGTCCTTAATTTGCAAATGTTATTATGTCATTTTTAAATTCGCATCAACTTTGGTTATTATGGTATATACCGAAACCATACCAAAATTGGACCATATTTAAATTTTGTATCGTATTTACCAAAGATACTATACAAACCAAAAAAAAGTACAACAGAGCCATATAAATTGAATAAACCGAATGCAAAGTGTTATCCAAAATGCTTCCAAAAACACTCTTTTTGGAGCATTGAATTATTTTTTGCCGAGACCTTCACGAATGTCATTTCATGGAGAAATTTTGCACGCATGTGAAACAGTTGTTAATGTTTGTCATAAAAAATTCCAGATTCTTCAGTTTAGAAAAGGAAGCATTTTTTGGAATTCCACAACATTATTTTCTCCCAGCCAACGCGCTTCAAAATGAAGCAAGGACTGTCTCGATTGGTCATTAGCAGTTGCCTCTTCCCAAATCATCGGGGTGGGCCTATGGTCAGATTTTATAATCATTCAGATGGTGTAGTCTATCTCTGCTCGACTGATATGGCTATGTTGCACCATTAATCAGTTCGGCCCACGTAGCGGTCATTTCGACTCGTCGCTCGTGGGGTAGTTGGTGGTTGAAAATTTGAAACTGCACACCACCCAACTGTGAAATGATGCAAATAGCTAAGCTCATCGTGGGGAGGTGGTACTCATGGCAGCAATGTTGCATGCAAATATACATTATCTTTCCACATCTGGGTGCTAGGGAAAAAATCTACCAAGAAAACCTCAGGGGAGCAAGGGTGGTGAGAGCATATCTCGTGCGAGTGCGCCGAGACCTTCTGGGCCTTTAGATGTGAAACCAAGGAATAGGACCCATCAGCATGGGGAGATGCTAGTAATTTTTCAGATTTACCTTGAAGTGTAGCTGAATTATGTACCCATCTTCTCTCTCTCTCATGTCTCTCATCCTCTGCCCCTTCTTTTCTCATGTGCCACCGTATGCCATGGGAGCTAGGGTTAGAAAAATTGCTCAATGTCATCTCTCTCCCTCTCCTTCCTCTCATGTATCATGGGCAAAGATCTCTAGCATATAAGCTTAAACGAGCCCCACCACTGGTACGCGTCGGTGCTATACAAACGGTTTTAAACCCGTTTCTGCGACGGCATTTGGAACCGTCATCAAGTGAGTGTGGGCGATAGAGGGCCTTTCCCATATGACCCAGAAACCGTCAGGGATATGCCCTCCTGGCACACACGCTCGGCAAAATGAGGTCGTGTGCGATCGGCAAGCGAGCAAATATGGTTATACGTACCCTCCTCCATGCGTAATGCGCGCACGACTCTAGGCCAACCCCTTGTGATGACTGCCCGTCCATCCTTCACTGTCTTCATTACGACTTCTCGATACTCATTGTAGTCTGGATGAAATACTTTAACCTTCATTGTGTGTCCACCAATCATGTACTTTGCGAGGTAATCTTGAGTGAACTGCTTCGGGAACCGCTGCGAATGAAAAAGATTCAGACATTGTTGTCTAACGACTCATTATGGGCAGTAAAAGGAGAAGGCTGCAGA